GCCCCCAGCTCTCACACACAGAAGCAAGAAGGGAAGGTGGCCTGGGAAGAGCACATTGAGAAACTGCTGGGTGCTTTACACTTAAAAAGAATTCAGAGACGCCACTCAGGACTCAAGGGAGAGGAGGCAATGGATCCAGTATATCAAGCCCAAATATTCAAACCACAGATAGGAAATTGGGTCAGCTGAGCCTGAGGGTCAAATGTTCCACATATGAAACATGAGTTGGCCTCATGCCAATGGCAGAGGCTTTAGGGAAAAAAAAGTGATTCTTGGTTCTATGAGTGCCTCCTCCCTGGCCACATAGGAAGTGGTCTGGATGCAACGCTGGCAGGAGTACCGAGCGGGCTGTAGGCCCCTTTCTGCTCTGGGGTCCCAGGATACTGTAGCCTACAGATCTAGGAGACTGAGGGTCATGGTGGGGTCAGGGAGAGGAGACAGGAGAGGCACAGCACAGTGCAGGCCCTGCATGCGAAGGTTAGTACTAAAGGGCTGTGGCCAGGGGTGGCCTCAGGATGGGGATTCAGGCCGGGGAAAGGGAGGGAGATGCGTCAGGATGTCTGACCTGGTAGCAATGTCATCATCCTCACCACCCCAGCCCCAGTATTCATTGGGGAAGCCGTTCATCTTCAGGTACTGGTCGGGAGTGAGCGCTGAGACCCCTCCAAAGTATTGGGGGTATGGGAGGCTGGGGAGAGAAAGATCCTTTGGTTCCACAAGTCTTATGGTATGCATCCCTACCCACAATCCCCTCAGCTCGCCTGCTTCCCAGCATCCTCTAATGCCTTCTACCTGTATCCAAACTTGTTCATGGCGACAGCCACATGCCGGGGCCCCCGGGGGTCACACACATACAGGTTGTGGTCATTCTCTGGCAGGAGGTCCACGTCGTGCAAGAACAGGCAGTCCCACTCTTCGTCACGCAGGGCCTCCCGGACCCCCACATTCAGCAGCTTTGCCCTGTTAAAAGTTCCATTTCCAGCCTGAAAGAGAGCGGAGGAAGCCCAGACTGTTGGTGGCATGGAGAGAGGGGCTGAAACAAAAGTAAAAAGAGGGCCCTGGCTGGTTTGGCTCAGTGGATAGAGCATCAGCCCTAAGACTGAAGGGTCCCAGGTTTTATTCCAGTCAAGGGCACATGCCTGGGTTGTGGGCTCGATCCCCAGTAGGGGGGTATGCAGGAGGCAGCTGATCCATGATTCTCTCTCATCACTGATGTGTCTCTTTCCCGCTCCCTTTCTCTCTGAAATCAATAAAAATACACTTTTTAAAAAAAGTAAAAAGAGGGAAATCAAAGTGGGATGGGGGGCAAAGAGAATGAAGAGAAAGACGATCTAAAAATTTCACTCAAAAAATATTTTGAGCAACAGTGTGTGCCTGATACTTACATGCTGCTGTTTAGCATTAAATCCTGACAACCAGCAACCATGTGAATAGGTGTCTATCAGTCACCCCTCGTTGCCTCATTGTAGGAGATTAAGTACTTGCTTACGGTCACATATGGAACATATGGCACAACTACAGTTTTAGCCCAAATCTGTCCAATTCCAAATGGGCACAATTCCAAATTGAACAAAGGAAAAGTCCTGGAAGTGTGTAGGACCAGGAACACCCTGCATCGAACAAGGAGCAGTATGGGACTGACCACAGGCACAGCAGAGCCAGGATTTCCCCACCTTCAGCAGCCAAACCCTCGGTTATTCCAGGGACCACAGGAGAGTGGAGCGGCACTGGCCTGAGGCTTCCTACAGAAAGGTCTGAGTGGGAGTATACCTGGTGGATGACGTAGATGCCGTATGCCAGCTGCTGGCGCTGCAGGAAGGGGTGCAGGTGGTAGAGCAGCAGGCGCAGGTGGTGCTCCCGGCCCCGGTGTGGCACGATGACGGCTGTCCGGGAGCGGGGCTCACACCCTGCAGGGCGGTACCGGCCCCCCACTTCCACCCGGGGGTTCCTCTCCACAATCTCTGCCAGCGATGGCACTGGGCTAAAGGACACGGACACAGGACCCACTGTTGGAGGAAATGACAAGTCACGGGTCAGAGGAGCACCTCTGACCCTGGCCCTCCTGGTCTGTGGCTCAGCAACCCCCCAAGGACTCACTCAGAAATCTCACCAGCCTTGAGCTCCCATGACTGGGACAGCTTCACAAAGCCTGGAGGGGGCAGGCTCCTTCCCTAGCCTACCTTACTGTAGGTTTCATAACTCCTTGATAGGGTTGGAAGCTACAGTTAGGGGATGGAGGGAACAGATGGACTTCCAACTCACGACCTAAGTCAGGACTCATCCACAAAGGAAACAATTTAACCTGAGGCAGGAAGAAGCCTGTGAATGGGCAGGCAATAGAAAGCTTTGCCTCAACCCCAGGGCCCAATCCAAACTCCAAATTCAAGTCCACTCCATCTCAACCTCAGCCCACTTTCCAATTACAGCAGCCTCCTATTCTAAGTCCCACTCTGACCCCCCTTCCCTTCCCTTCCCTCCCTTTCCCTTCCCCTTCCTTCTGCACTCACCTAAGAAAGGAGACCGTTCTGGACAGTATGGCAGACCTTGAGGAGCCAGAGGGCCGCCCGGGGCAACAGCAGGGGCCCCTGACAGGTGGCTGAGGTTACTGTAGACATCGTGGGGATGAGCATAGTCAAATGTGGGCCCCTGCTCTCGGCCAAATAGGGCGCTGAGGCTCCGGAAGCCCCCCAGTGACAGGTACATCATGACGGCCAGCTGGGAGCCCACGAGCAGGGCCAGCGTGCAGGGCCGCTCCAGCAGCCGCCGCAACATCCTGGGCTGAGGTCTGGGAGGAGAGGAGAGCTCTGGGCAGGCAGGGGGAGCACAGCCAGCAGAGAGCATGGTGTAGGGATGGCGGTGCGGTGAAGAGGAGAAACAGGCAGAGGAGCCGGTCACGGAAGGGAGCACACAGGTGTGCAGTCATCGAGGGGAAGAGACAGGCTGTTGCCACCAGCAGCCCCACCACCTTTCCCAGCCCGGGTCGCACTCTCCTCCACCCTCCCCAACCCACTCCTGCACGTCCTCTCAGTCCTCACCCTCAAGTCCATTTCAGAGGAGTCCCTGGAGAACTCCCTCCCAGTTTAGAGAGAGACTCACCTTGGTTCAAGCTGTCTTCTTCCAGATCATGGGGGCCCTGGGGGCCCCGGGGGCGCAGAGATGTGATGCATTATCTAAAACTGGAAATGTCGCCGAGGACAGCAGGCCAACGGAGCTCCTGGGACCGGCTGGAACACAGTGGACAAGGGTGAGCTGATCGCCCACGGAGAGGCGCGCAAGGGCCGGAAGCGGGCTTCCAGCAGGGGAAGTGAGGGAAGATGCTGGCTTCTCCCACTGGCGACCCCGGAGTGTCAACTCCATCCTCGCCCATCCCCCACCCCAACAGGACCAACCAGTTCGGGGAGTGGGGACGGGGCCGCTACTGGAGACTGTGTCCCCAGGGGGTGAAGCAGCCGGGACAGGACTGGACTGTGCAGTGGTCTCAGGAGAACAGGGCGGAGCAGGAAACGGGCTGCTTTCCACTCTTCACGGGCCTGGGAACTAGGTCCGCAGGTGCAGGGAGCGTGACCACCTGGGAGCGGCAAGCACACGCCCCAGGCGCGGGGGGAGGGGGTAGGCGTCCCTGTCGCCTTTCCCGGCTCCAGCTCCGGCGGGCGAGAGGGGAAGCGCAGGGCCGCGCCGGGGGCACTGAGACTGGCTTCCCTGGAGGGAGTGGTTGCCGCCTGTGCTTTCCAGAGCGTTACAGCCCAGCGCCTTTGGGGCACCCTCCCACCCTGAACTCCTGCAGGCGCCCTACCTTCCTGGGGCGCCCACCCGGCCCGGTCCACACTCCGCCCGGGACCCGCTCCACTCGAGTTTGTCTGCAGCCTTTGCTCCAAACTTCTCATCCTCCCGATCGCCCTCACGTTTGTGCGGGCCTCTCATCCCTCCATCCGTGGCCCGTACCTGCTCTGCGGCTTCCCGTGGTCACCGCCGGCCT